GAAAATATGCGTTGTAGTCCAAACGAGTCGTTCGTTGTAGTTTTTGAAAAGTGATTTCTGTTAAATAAAATATCTCCTTTTGAAGTGGACTTTGTAACTTTGCAGATCTTTTTTTATGCTCAAACAGCAACATTACAGACTAACTAAAGTTGAAAAAGTGTAATAAGACCCCTTTAATGTATGAAAATAGCACTTGCCTGTGCTTTAGTGCTCCAGTTATGCTCAATGTATAAAAATGAGGTTAAGAGCTCATGTAATGTCTCTCCCTCTCTCAGATCCCACTGTTTGGGATCATGTCTTCAGACTCCGCAGATCCATTCTACTGGATGAGAGTCATCTTGGCATCAAACAGAGGTAAGTCTGTTTCTGTACGTGGAATATTACGATGTTAGGGTAATCTTAATAATTTTTATACCTAGTTTATTCATGCATGTAATATATACTCGTTCAAAACTTTGGGGTCAGTAATACTAATACATTTATTGAGCAAAACATATTGTGGGTTGTAAAGTTTACTAATGACCATGCTTTTCAGGTACTCTGATGGAGTTGGGTATCTCTCCCATTGTGACCTCTGGTCTGATCATGCAGCTGCTGGCTGGAGCGAAAATCATTGAGGTTGGAGACACACCTAAAGACAGAGCACTTTTCAATGGAGCCCAGAAATGTATGTTTTTGTTGTTTTGAGTGTATTGCATGTACATGCAATTAAATAATATTAAATATTAGTTTTAGATTAGTTGTGATGATTAAAATTCTGTTGATGGCAATTTATTATTTTTTTTCCAGTGTTTGGTATGATCATCACCATTGGCCAGGCTATTGTGTATGTTATGACTGGAATGTATGGCGATCCTTCAGAGATGGGTGCTGGCATCTGTCTGCTGATCATCATTCAGGTAAGAGAGCATGCACACACACAACACAGGAGTTTTTTGGGTGAGTGATCCATGTGTATTTTATGATAAGAGACGTAATTACGTTTGTGTGCTTTTCCTATAGTTGTTTGTGGCCGGTCTGATCGTGTTGCTGCTGGATGAGTTGCTGCAAAAAGGTTACGGTTTGGGCTCTGGTATCTCTCTCTTCATCGCCACCAACATCTGTGAGACAATCGTATGGAAGGCGTTCAGCCCAACCACAGTCAACACAGGAAGAGGTTTGTGTTCAGGACACCGCATCTCTGTTTGAAACATATTTTGAACTTAAGTGATGTTGACTGAATGTTGTTTGTGTACATACAGGTACTGAGTTTGAAGGAGCCGTTATTGCTCTGTTCCACCTGTTGGCCACTCGTACTGATAAAGTGCGAGCACTGAGAGAGGCCTTCTACAGACAAAACCTGCCCAACCTCTTGAACCTCATTGCTACAGTCTTCGTCTTTGCTGTGGTCATATACTTCCAGGTCAGTTTTTTTTATTATTATTATTTTGTTGCAAAGTAATGAGAATAATCAACTTAGTTGAATTTAAGATTTAATTGCAGCAGTAGTCTCTCTCTCTGTATTTTTTCATATTGTTTTGATAAATATGTATAATGATAGATAGGTTTTGAGATTTTGTGTTCTTTACTTATTTTAGCATATTTGTTATTTATTTTAATCTTCTACAGCGGGTAAAATAAGTATTGAACACGTCACAATTTTTCTCAGTAAGTATATTTCTAAAGGTGCTGTTGACATGAAATTTTCAACAGATGTCGGTAACAACCCAAGTAATCCATACATACAAAGAAAACAAAACAAATAAGTTCAGAAATTTAAGTTGTGTGTAATAGAATGGAATGAAACAGGGACAAAGTATTGAACACATGAAGAAAGGGAGGTGCAAAAAGGCATGGAAAGCCAAGACACTGGCTGAAATCTATCAGTAATTAGAAAGCAATCCTGCCCATAGTCAGTGGAAATTATTTAGCTGGTTATTAACTGGTTCAGTCCCAACACCTTCAGTACCAGGATGAAGATGAATCAAGGGTGGGCATTTCAGCAAGACAATGATCCCAAACACAGCCAAGGAAACGTCCCTGTGGCATTCCATTTTATAACACATAACTTAATTTCTGAACGTATTTGTTTTGTTTTATTTGTATGTATGAATTACTTGGGTTGTTACCGACATCTGGTGAAAATTTCAAGTCAACAGTACCTTTACAAATATATTTACTGAGAAAAATGGTGACGTGTTCAATACTTATTTTACCCGCTGTATTTGTGTATAATGCTTAGGCAATATTGAACAATAATATTAATATATGTAAACGCAATCATTCCAATAAAGTACTTTAAAATGGATTTATTGATGAAAAATTTATGAATTTTGTTTTGCACAGGGCTTCAGAGTTGACCTGCCCATCAAGTCTGCACGTTACCGTGGCCAGTACAACACATATCCCATCAAGCTGTTCTACACCTCCAACATTCCCATCATCCTGCAGTCTGCTCTGGTCTCTAACCTGTACGTCATTTCTCAGATGCTCTCCACCCGCTTCAGTGGAAATTTCCTGGTCAACCTACTGGGGACTTGGTCTGTAAGTGTCACCAGTGCTTGTTGCTGTGTACCATGTCTTCTGCTAAGTTTAAAGTGCAAATCCAGAGATTATTTTATAGGATGCAGACCAGAAACCAAATAGAACTAGATATGGAAGAGGAAACCTTCCTAATAGCTTGGTTTTTTTTTTGTTGTTATTGTAGGATTCCTCATCTGGTGGTCCAGCTCGTGCCTACCCTGTAGGCGGTCTGTGTTACTATCTGTCTCCTCCGGAGTCATTTGGTTCTGTGCTTGAAGACCCAGTCCATACAGTGATCTACATTGTATTCATGCTGGGATCCTGTGCCTTCTTTTCTAAGACCTGGATTGAAGTTTCTGGATCATCTGCCAAAGATGTGTGTTACTAGTTCTTGTTCATTTATCAATGTTGTTTTTGGATATTTGATATGAAAATGTAATGGTTGTATGTGTGTTTTTAGGTGGCCAAGCAGCTGAAAGAACAGCAGATGGTGATGAGGGGACACAGAGAGACCTCCATGGTTCATGAGCTCAACAGGTGAGCTACAAACACATTAACTTTTGAAGTACTTGCTTGTCAGGACCTTCATTAATCTCACACATTCTCTTTGTTATTCAGGTACATCCCCACAGCGGCTGCATTTGGTGGACTGTGTATCGGAGGCCTTTCAGTAATGGCTGACTTCCTGGGTGCCATCGGCTCTGGAACAGGAATCCTACTGGCTGTTACCATCATCTATCAGTACTTTGAAATATTTGTTAAGGAACAGAGTGAAGTTGGCAGCATGGGAGCGCTACTCTTCTAAACAAGGACACTCACAAAACACACATACATTTGCTAACACCTTATAAAACACTTTTATTATTTTTATGATTGTTGTTGTCATTTTATTTTCTTTATTTCGGTGCGATTTAAGCATTTAAAATGGTCTGTCACAAGTGCTGTCTTGGGAGAACGCTAGTTCCGGCTGAGCATGTTCTCCTATTTGTCAGAAGTGGCAAAACGTTTCTAAAATTCAGTGATTAAGCTGAACTTCAGTGATGGGACAGTAAAGATGGACTCTGTGAGCTCGGATTAGGAATATTCAGGAGTTTTCCCTTCTCAGTCTGTCCTTCTTCCATCTCCACGTGTCACTGAATCCCTTCATTCACCCTTATGTTTATTTCTTGTCTGATCCTAGTTATGCCAGGTAAAAGGATTTTCTAGAAAGTATTGCTAATGTTGAGTGATTGATTTGATTTACTCGACACTGCCAATTTTGACTTCACACACACAAACTGTTTCTTTTACGCCTCAGTTTGTCATATTGGTCTTGTAAGTGAAGCTTACCGACATTTATTTTTCCAATAATAGCTGTAAGGCTCACTCTTAACTCCTCATACTGTATTTAATCATACAAAACGTGATGGTTTAGTTATGGCAAAAGATCTGTCAGCAGAATAGCTTGTCAGTTCTAAACAAGGCAACATTACAACAGGGGAAATGCAGCGCACAGTGTGGCACCAGAGGCGTGTTTTGTTTTTGTGTGTGTGTGTGTGTGTGTGTGTACACTCATTTACGCTGGAATCCTTTTGTACAGAACACATCTTACACAGTAGGCTTCAAGGATTTTCTGTTTTTGAAAGTGCTTGGTCTGTAGTGAGAGCTTGGTGGCAGACAGAACTGGTTACACCTGAAGTCTGTTTACTTTAAAAAAAATTAAGCCCTTTTTACTGTATCATTGGGTGTCTGTATATATGACATTTAATGCGGTGCGCAACCATGTAAAATAAGTCTTTTTTTTCTTTTTTCTTTTTTTTAACTATGTAAAAAATAAAAAATAAAATGTTCCGAACAAATATATCCAGCAAAGACTGATCATTCTCAATAAAAACTCATTTTTGGGAGATAAGATGCGTTTTATTTGTGAGCATGACTTACTGGACAAATCAAAATCTTTTTATGTGAATGTAAAAATGGTTGTTTCTTTCTTTTCACATATGACATGGTAAAGTTTGAGCTGTTATGCAGGTTTCTGTAAACACATCTGCAGTACTTCACAAGTCCCCTGAATTGTGTTCGCTGTGTTTAACTCATAGACTGTATAGGTTTAACTACAAAGAAAATACCATATTTCAGAAAACTCAAGTATGCTATGGCTGCCACAGTTGTGAAATTAGTTTAAGCACTGATATAATGTTCATAATTTAAGTGTTCGTGACTAAAGTCGTTTAAACTTCTCATTTTAAACAGTACTGTTCTATTCATTTCCTAAAGCCTAAACTTAAAAGAATGATGGGTTTATTATTTTCTTACAGGCAATCTGAGAGGCAAAAATTTGGGGTCCTCGTCTACTGTTTATGACGTCATGATATTTGATTTGATAACGTGGGTTGAAAGCTGCATGACCAAAGAATGACCGTAGGACGGATAGATAGAGGGTGATATTTGCTGGTGAACAGGGAATTTTTGGAGTTGATGCCGCAAAATATTGATGATAAAGCGCTGGAAAATCAGCGCACGCACTTCATTGTATCTGCTTTTGCGACATTTACTTTACAATTTCAGTATAGAAAGAAATGACCACAGTCAACGAGGAAGGTAATTCAGAGTCAATTCCTGAAACGGACTTCATTTTTGTACAAATTGATTTATGTTATCAATAACTGGCTATCTGTTTGCTCTTAAAGTTTAAAGTAAGATCTGAAACTTAATTCTAGCTATAAGACTAGAGTGATAGCGATGACCTTGTCGTGAATACTTCTACATGTGCGAGTATTTTGTCTTTACTTTACTGATGCCACACTGAAAAATAAAGAAAGAAAAGAAAATCTAAACTCTCTTAAAAATGTTTTAATTTTTGAATCTTCTCTAAGCTGATTATATGTATTAAAGCACATTATTCCAAATGATTAAGGACTTTTTTTTATTATTGTTTTATTACAAGAGTCAAGGGTCACAGTAACACATATGTGACAAATTAATAAACTGTAAATTTCCTTTTCTAGGAATAACACATCATTGACAGAAATAGACAAGAATCATATGAACATTACACAATGTAAAAGTAACACGTAAAAATTAACACTGCAACAAAAATTAAAGATTACAAAAAAAAAAATTTAATGTGATGGTGAAATGTGTACATCTGAATGTTGTCCTGGGAAGTAGTTTACCACAACCTTTAAAAAAAAAAAAAAAACATTGTTTTTAACATTGTTAACACCAGTAATAAGAAATAAAGGGATATATTTTCTTTTCAAGTTGTTATTAATTACTTGCGTACTTGGCAACTATTAATTCTCATCATTAACTCTTTACAGGGAAGGACCGAGTCATATTTGTTACCAAGGAAGAACATGAAATTCCTAGCACTGTGAAACTGGATGAGGAGGATGCAAATGAGGACCATGAAGAAAAAGGTGACAGATGGAAAGAAATACTTCCTTTTTGAGATGAAACTGTGTAACTTTGTCATTTTATATCCACCTCACTTTCTCTTTGTGTTCAGGTCTCATCTTGCCGAGTGGTGAGATAAATTGGGACTGTCCGTGTTTAGGGGGGATGGCAAGTGGAGTGTGTGGCGAGCAGTTTAAGACTGCATTCACCTGCTTCCACTTTAGTCAAGAAGAGGTGAAGGGTTCGGACTGTCTGGAGCAGTTCAGCAGCATGCAGGAGTGTTTTCGGCATCATCCTGAACTCTTCCCTCAGGAAGATGATCTTCAAAGTGCCAATCCTGGATCAAACGCAGAACAAAAAGACTCCCCTTCCATCTCTGACTTCAGCACAAGCAAAGAGTCTGACACGAATGATATGCCTTCACAGCTGCCCGTAGCTAGTTAAAATTGGAGAACAACCGATTTCCATCTCTTGTTCCACTTATTTTGTTTTACTTTAATCTATTTATATCTGTTTTTAAGATGAGACATAAAGGTAACAATATATGGACTATATATTTTTCCAACACATTTTTTGATGAACGTGGTCTTAAAAAATGGTGAGACATCCAGAAAAAGGAACCATATATAGGATAGATGTTTTGTTGAACTCTCTATAGTGTGTTCTGAAAAATATCAACTTCATATTTATACATTTTGTGTTCTTCTTTCTTTTCTTTTTTATACTCCTTTTTCATTTTTTGTTCTATTTTGTTCCTATAATCACCTTAATCCCAGTGTAACTTTGTTACAAATTGACGTGTGAAAGTGTGTGATTTAAAGTCTGCTGAGATTAACGTGTGTCAGACATGGTAATTGAGTGAGTACAAGTATTTGCGTGTAAAATGTGATATCAATTTTATATTGTTTGGCCATTTAAGTATATATGTATATAACTTTGTGCTGCTTTAGTCAAACAGTATCAAAGTAATTTAAGGGAGGTTAATGAATCACCTTTCACATTGGGTCCAAAAGTTTGAGATTACATAAAAGGTTGAAATGTAAAATCTTTGATTCAAAACATACTGTCTAACATCTGTATATCAGGAGATATTAAATAAAGTCATACAGATTTGGAATGACATGAGGCTGAGTAAATGGTGACAGAATTTTTTCTTCTCAGTTCTAGCAAATTCTGTCAGTCAAGGCTCTACTGACATATTTAAATGAGATCTGTTAAAAAAAAAAAAAGAGGAGCACAGGAATGAGGTTTCTTGAATGATATATTTTGACAGCTAATTTTGCACATGGTGGAAAAAAATGAAATGGAAGATAGCTTTAGATTTTTCAATGCCTTTGAGTCAATCATCAAGGTCAGTAAAATGAAATTGATGTTTCTGAACTGGTTGTTTTTGGGAGAGTGCCACATCATGTTTGGCTTGTTCAATGATTGCCTTGACAGATATCTGAAGTTTCTTATTGGATGAGACTAGAGGGAAACCAAGTAAACTGACCAATGTAGTGATAGGGAGGAGGTTAGAGGGTCAGCGGGGCAGTGTTCATATAAACCTCTGTAATTCTTCCTGTGAACTACAGACGAATCCTGAGAGAACTTGTAAGTAAAAACTTCTGATACAGAGATATATTTGAAATGTATATCTGCTGTTTTCATATCTTTATATCTCTTCTGTGACTACAGGAGTGATGTCCAGCCTAAAGGAGATCTGTGCCGGATTACCCCTTGATCCTCTTCCTCCAAACCGTGGCAGAGACCCCAGCATACCTCATGCACTTGTCCGTACTCCAAACTTCACCCCAGCAGAAGAAAGGGTGGGTCAATATATCTCTGACACATCTATTCTGAATATCCAATCTGCTTTCTTTCATACAATGACAGTGCATGGGGACCAAAAAGGACAAAAACATAAAGCATCATATATGTAATGCATATGACTTGTATGCTATACTCCAAATCTTTAGAAGCGATATGATAACTTTGTGTGGGGAACAGACTGAGATTTAAGTTGTTATTCAGTAAAAAAAAAATTCATTTTTGATTCTGACAAATCACATTGATTCTTTAAAATTTCTTTATTAGTTTACATAGTTGTGTAATGAGACGGCTATTTACAGCCCAAAAATATGAAATGCATAAAATTATAATGAAATGTTGTTCGGGAATACACTACTGTTCAAAAGTAAAAGAAATGAATACTTTCACCAAGGATAAATTACATTTGTCAAAAGTGATAAAGTTTTTTTTTTCTTTAAAAATCTATTTGAAGTAATTGCTGTTCTTCTGAACTTTGTATTTGTCAAAGAATCCTGAAAGAAAATATTTTGTGGTTTACACAACTATTATGCAGCAAAACTGTTCAACATTGATGATAATAACAAGAAATGTTGTAAGAATGTCATTTTTACAGTAATATTCACAATATTACTATTTCAAAAACAAAACAAACCTTACTGAGCCCAAACTTTTGAACTGTAGATTTTTAAATGAATTAGGAGGTTTAAATTCTACGCGGTGATCAGCAGTGGTTAAAAATACAAAATCTTCCAAATCTTTCCACACTGTGAGCCCTGTCAATCATTAGAGAAGATAAGAGTCTGAGTTTTGTAAGAGAGAAAGGAACGAATGCTCAGTGAAATGGGGGATGAGGGACAGAGACCAAAACATTTTGTAACTTGATTGCATCATGATCACTCAGTCTGTCCCTTCAGTTAAACTCTACTGAACTCTCCTCTGTCATAGTCTGTTTCTCTGTCTCTCTAGCTGGCTTTGAGGAATGCTTTGAGATACTTTCCTCCAAATCTGCATGCGACTCTGGCTACAGAGTTTGCGCAGGAGCTCAGACAGTATGGACACATTTACATGTACCGCTTCTGTCCTACACTACGTATGAGGTACAAAATAAGCAATTGCACAGCACACACGGACAACTGTATTAATATACCATGTCTTGACCATAGCATTTCACACCGTATCTGTGACTGTATGTGTGTGTTGTAGAGCCTATCCTATTGATCAGTACCCATGCAGAACAAGACACGCTGCTTCCATCATGCTTATGATAATGAACAACCTGGATCCTGCTGTAGCACAGGTACATTTTCACATGTGATATGTAATAATCCAGAAAAGGCTGGGAGGTTCATTCAGCAAGGGGGTCTCTTCTTTTAGACCTATAGATCTTCCTTTTCCTTCTTGAAGATCATATTTTATGGTGTAAGTACTGTATCTCTAAAATACGCTCTCATTTTAATACTTGTCTGCTCGCAGTTCCCACAAGAGCTTGTCACATATGGAGGAAACGGACAGGTGTTCAGCAACTGGGCGCAGGTAGATTTGTACAGATTTATGTATCTGTAATGTTATATTTTATACACCTATAATACACCTTTTTCTACGTATATACTGTGTTTATGTGTGTGTTTGTATATATAGTTCTGGTTGGTATTTCACTATCTGAGCACCATGACTGAAGAGCAGACCCTTGTGATGTACAGTGGTCATCCATTGGGTCTTTTTCCCAGCCTCCCTTCTTCTCCACGCTGTGTAATCACAAACGGCATGGTAAGATACACACAGGCCTTTATGCATGAGCATGGGTTATTTTTACCCATAAGGGTGCATCTCTTTATCTTCTTGTTTTGTTTCAGGTCATTCCAAACTATTCTTCCAGAGAGGAATATGAGAAGATGTTTGCTATGGGCATTACAATGTGAGATTTCACCAATACCCATTACCTAGTCTCTTTTAGAAAATATGCATATGTACACTACTATTCTAGTTTACCAGTTTGAGGTTGGTGAGATTTTTTTTTTAACCCTTGTGCGCTCCTCATTTGGGAGTCACACTCATGGTCTTCGCGATCAAAAGTGACCGGACACCTGAAATTTAACTTTTTTTTTCTTCAGTAAAATCAAACTAATATATTTTTGTTCAATAATATTTTTTTCTTTTGTATTTTGAGAGAATTTTATGGTAATAATTAATATTTATTCAATAATTATTATACATTTTTCCCATTGAAAATAGTACAAAAAAAATGTCTCTAATTTTTTAAAATAATTTTTCAATCAATGCAGTATCTCTGATTAAAATAGAGACTAGGCCTTTAAAATCCATTTTTTTAAAAGGCAGATTAGCACCTCCTGGTGAGAGCAAAGAAAGAAAAATCTGTAATTTCATGGTGTAACCACTAGATGCCTGTATAGGAATCTATTAGGGGTGTGTGTACAAGTGTGTGTGTGTCCACGCGTGTGTGAGTGGGTGTGTTGATTTTGCACTCTAGATGTTTTAGAGTTTCTCCCCTTTATTGCTGTGCAATTTTTTTCTGCATCGTGGGGGATTTGTAGATTGTACACACAAAAATTTTCTGTATTTTCAATTTTTTTGCCAGTTTTTTTACGAGCACTTAGCTTTTTCGAATCATGCCCTCACATTTTTTTGTGTGTTCACATACCAAGTGCCATAAAAGTCACCAAGTTTCGTACCATTACGATGAAGCTACGATTTTTAAATATTCAAAATGTAAAATTCTTCGGAATTGTAAGTGACCGAAGACCGCACAAGGCAGAAGTCTATTTCTAATCATGAAGGCTGCATTTATTTGATCAAAAATACAGTAAAACAGTAATATTGTCAAATATTATTACAAATATATATAGAAATCATTCTAATATGCTGATTTGGTGCTTAAGAAACATTTCTTCTTATTATTAATGTTGAAAACAGTTGTGCTGCTTAATATTTTTGTGGAAACTGTGATGCATTTGTTGGATTCTTTGTTATATAGAAAGTTCCAAATATAATTTATGTAAAATACATGATAAATATTTTTACTGTAACTTTAAGATCAATATAATGCGTCCTTGAAGAACTGGGTGATAGTATAGTCTGTATTGTCTAGTGTGTATGTTTCTCTGTGTTTATGGTCAGGTATGGGCAGATGACTGCTGGAAGTTACTGTTACATTGGCCCACAGGGCATCGTCCACGGTACCATGGTAACCAATGCATCTATTAAAAATGTTCTGTTCTATCAAATGAAAACTTCAAAAAACAGATCTAAACAAGTATTTCTCTGTGTATATAGTTGACAGTGCTCAATGCAGGTCGGAGATACTTGGGCTCAGGTGACCTGAGGGGTCGTGTGTTTGTGACATCTGGTCTGGGAGGCATGAGCGGAGCACAAGCAAAGGCAGCGGTCATTGCTGGCTGTGTTGGGGTCATTGCAGAGGTTAGATAATGGTTAAAGTAAATGCTCACTAGTATTATATATTTCTAGCCAGCCAGTTTATTCAAGTTTCCTGTTAAAAACTAATTTGCTTACCAATCAGTGAGATATACATCAGATTCAATCACAAAGAAAATGCCCCGACATGATTTAAGGGTGTCTTTTAAAGATCCAGTCTCAACTTTAAATGGACCAAAATGTGAACCCAGTTGTTTTGCATTCACATTTTTCCTGGCCATAGAAGTGGGTATATGTCTCATTTTGGTCCATTTGACTTGTGTTCCATTTCAGTTTTCATGTGTATTGGTAAACAGTTGTCCCTCAATCAGTAATTTCCATAAAACTGAGATAAAATATTTGGAATTATGCAAATTCAAAAATAAAGTGAACCTTCAGAATATTTACATTATAAGAGAACAACAGCATGGATTTATAGCAAACCTCAGTCAAACTCGTATAGCAAAGTGGCTCAAATTGCTAAAAAATTTGTTTGAATTCTTCACAAGTCCAAATTGCAAAACACCCTCAGGCCCCATAAAATGATCCATATGTGAAGTGCACAATCATAACTGACCTCTGCAGGTTGATGAAGCTCCACTAAAGAAAAGGCATGAGCAGGGCTGGCTGATGGAGATCACTAGTGACTTGAGCCACTGCATCCAACGCATCAGGTACAGTATCCAAGAAAATATACATAGAAACACACAGACATATCTTCAATTTATGCTTAATCTTATAGGGAGGCCAGAAGGGCAAAGATGGCCTTGAGTTTAGGCTACCATGGCAACGTTGTGGATCTCTGGTAAGTTGTGTACTTCATATTTTATTTGCAATAGTTTCCATTTTTAGTAAATTATAAGTGCAATATGTTTCAGGGAGTGCCTCTACCAGGAGTATAAGAAGACAGGAGAGTTGTTGGTTGATTTGGGTTCTGATCAGACATCACTTCATAATCCATTCAGTGGAGGATATTACCCAGTGCAACTCGCCTTCAGACAAGC